CTTTAAACCTCTGCAGTTTGTGGAAACTCCGCTTATTGGACCTTCTCCAGGGAAATCGTTGGGAAAATAAATTTTTGGGGGGGAGGAAAAGGCCAGAGCCCTAGAACTGACTGACAGTTTTCTGCCACATATTCGCAGGCACAAGTCAGCCCAAGGGAGCACAGAGCTGTACCCCACACTGGCATTTCTATCCCTCTGCCCCTCATAGGGTGACCAGACAGCAAGCATGAGAAATCAGGACAGGGGGTGGGGGGCAATAGGAGCCTATACAAGAAAAAGACCCAAAAATCAGGACTGTCCCTATGAAATCGGGACATCTGGTCGCCCTAGCCCCTCGCAGCCATCCTCAGCTGGGGTAGGTGCTGCCTCCTTTGTCCTGCTGAATTCGGGAGTTTATCCTGAGTTAGAGCAGCCCCAAACCAGATTCCAGGCTTTGGGAATGCAGCAGGAGCCGCACAGGTTGAGGGGACAAAGAGATTGCCTGGGGCCAGGAGGCTGCAGGGTAAAAAAGGCAGCACCCCCCATCTCTAGGTTCACGCTTCCCCCTTGCTGCATGCACACACCACCCCCCACTGACCTAGTAGACTGAAGAGACTGAATTTATTGCCTGCCACCAGTCACCTGACTGGGGTCAGAGTTGAAAGGGTCAGCACCCTTGTCATATGATAGGTTAGTGTCACCTGATTGCCCAATTACAAAGACCTACCACACATCCTAAGCACACAGCGCTCAAAGTTCAAATCAAGCAAAGGCCCAGGCAGGCCTCTGTGGGGGTCAGACTCTGGCCAGAGCCCTACACATAAAAGGAAGCTTAGAATTTTTTTTCCAACAAAAATGTTGTTTCTCTTTCATTCTCCTATAATTAAAAAAACTCAGATGGGAAGTTGCTCAGAACTCCTGTTTTGGGGGGGGATATCTGTACCAAACACCACAGTGGTGAATGCTACAGGACATTCTGCAGGTGGGAAACAAGGGTTGTAACGGAAAGTGTTTTCCATCCTGAGCTATGGCGCTAGCTAGTGGCTGTTCTAATATAACAGTGAGAAACCTGCTCAGCGCCCCGTTCCCTCTGCTGCAGGAACAGATCATTCACAGCACAGCCAGACCTCAGCCTTTCTTGGCAGACTGCATTCTTGAAGGTTGTGCAGCCCATCTGAGCCACAGCCAGGATGCAGCATTGCTGAATGTCATGATAATTGGTGTTTTTCTGAAAGCTGCAGCTTCCGGAAGCAAGGGAGTGCCTAAGAATCTCAGCTCTCTCTCTTTTTTGTTTTTTAAGTAAGTTTCTAGCCTTCATGGTTGTGAAGAAAAGCTTGAAAACATGCAGCAAGTGCAGCCTAAAGGCTCAAAAGCCAGAAGGCAAAGGAAAAGAACCAAACAGGGACTTAAAAAAACCACAACTTTATGATTTTAAGATGTCACTTGATTTTTGAATGCTGGGTCTAGTGCTAAGTGGGATGTGCGGGCTGGGCTGCTTGCCTCATGTGTATTTGTGTTGACTCAAGTATCCACTCGATGGAGAGAGAGTGAAGGGTGAGCAGCCGTAGCCCAAAGCTTGTCACAGACTTCTCCACCAGGAGATGGAATCAAATAGGTGCCTTGAATTTATTTTTCCAAACTTGAAGGAAATCAAACAGTGGCCTTATGCTAGGGGTTCTCAAACTGGGGGTCAGGACCCCTTAGGGGGTCGTGAGGTTATTACAAGGGGGGTTGAGAGCTGTCAGCCTCCACCCCAAACCCCGCTTTGCATCCAGCATTTATAACGGTGCTAAATATATAAACAAGTGTTTTTAATTTACAAGGGGGGGGTCGCACTCAGAGGCTTGCTATGTGAAAGGGGTCACCAGTACAAAAGTTTGAGAACCACTGCCTTATGCCATTGCTCTCCTTAGAGAGAAACCCTCTCACTCGGACTGGTTTGAGTCATGAGACTTTCTGATCACACCCAGCTAGTAATGGAGGTTGAATCAGTTTTCTGATATGGCTGTGACCAAACACTGTAACACTGTGGTTTGCATCTACACACTGCCATAGATCACACGCCATTCTAGGGCGTAGCTGCCAGCACTGGAGGCTCTCATGTGGTTTCTGATAGCAAAGTTACTCTTTTAAATATTGTTGCCCCCTGTGCTAAAATCATGCCAACCCCAGCCATCTTGGAGGGAACAAACATCCTCTCCAGCACAATTCTATCAGTCCCCTATGAGACACAATTTCTGAACAAACCTGCAGCAAGCCCAGTTCTGTCCCCAGGGTATGTGAGTGCCTAAGCTGTGCGAAGTGAGCGTGCATTAAGAGAAGAACATTAGTTAGAACACAGGACTGGGAGTCAGCACCTAGTCTCTCCCACTGACTCAGAGTGACCTTGGGCAAGTAGCTTCCCCTTGCCTGTGTCCTTGTAGAAGGGAAGTAACACTGAACACAGACAGGATCAGGAAGCATATCTACATTAAACAGGGAGGTGCTGTTTTGAGTGGCATTTTTTGGTGTAGAACTGCACTTTGACTGAACCAACTGCTCACCAGCCACAAGCACAGGGTGATTGTTCTGAATTTAAATAAACTAGTGTGCAGGTTTCTTCACCCCAAGCCTATGGTCAGACCAGCTACAGGATTTATGTATGCTGCAGAACATACACCTATAAACCCCTTTTGGGAGATTCAGATACTCAGTTACCATATTCCCAGCTGGCCTGAAAGAACAATACATTCATAAATGAGAAATTCCACCAAACTGCTAATGGGTCAGTATCGTGACCCTCTCTGTAATTGTCACAAAATCTCATGAAAACCGAATTAGGAGAAAACAAAACTCTCATTGTATGGCAGCACACTGCTGTCACAATGGCTCTGGTAACAAGCCCATTAAATAAAGGGAAGGCAGTTGCTATAACAGATGGAATACGTATGGTGCTGCCTGTAAAAGTCTTATTTATCTTTCTTGGATTAAGGGCAAAAGGTTGATTTATTTGGAGAGAGGGAGAGAGAGAGAGAGAGTGTGCGTGTGAGAGAAGTTTGATATTTTTTGTCCAGGATACTTTATGTGACAAGCAGGCTGTATGCAGGCGATACATACAAGTGGACTGCAGATCTTCGGCATGTGCAGCTGGAGTTTGGACAAGTGCACTGGATATTTTGAGTCTCCATAAAGATTCACAGCTGTACTCAACAGAATCGGAGGGGAGCAGGCAGGGGCTTCTTGTACTTGTGGGTAGGACAGCATCACACCAACCTCTGGGAAACAAGTGGGAGTGACCTTACCTGAGGCTAGTTACTGCACCTTGCATCAGCATGCTGCAAAAGTAACACTCCCAGCTTCTAGAAGTGGAAAGTCTACAGAGAGACTTTGAAGTGAGCTGGGCCAGAGAAGCTGCAAGTTCCTCTTTGTCAGAGCCCAAAGCTCCTGAAAAGAGCAGAGTGTTTCAGATTGCAGCTTCTTGGATTTCAACCGAGAGGCCTTTTGAATAAAGCAGCTGCTACCAGGACACATGATGCTATAGCAAGGTAGCAGAAGGCAGGGCAGGACCTGAGCACTGATGTCTGATGGCAGCCTGCCCACTGCCTATGGTAGCAGCACTGGTTATACACTTTTAATCGCTGGGTTCCTAGATCTGCATCCCTGGTTCTCCCTGTGTTCAACTGTAACTTGCCTTCTGCCACCAGCTATAAAGTTAACAAGGATGCTTTGGCAGCCATTTCCCTGCTTAATTACAGCTTATGGCATTGTGCAAGCACTTCATCCAACTGCAACAGGAAGCAGAAAGCCACCCCAGCCTGAAGGCATACTGTTCTCTCCCCCCAACACCCACGTGCGAGCCTGCTGCTGCCGCTGCCAGGGAGGAGAAGCTAGAGCCAGCACACCCCATTACATCATGTTCATGAAAAGATCTCTGCTATCATACCCGGCACGATAACCAGGGCTGCAGAAGTGTAAGGAGATGGGTCATTTCTATGACTCTGATCCCCAGTGGTGGAGAGGGACGGATGAGGAGGCTGTGTGTATGGCTGTACGTACAGTGCTCTGGGTCAAGAGTTCTCTCAGGTCTGTCTACGTGGGAAAGTTTTTATCAGTTATACTGGTTTAACCCCCTCTGTTGACACACTTATGCTAGTGGAAAAGTGGCTTTTTTGGTTTAAACACCTTCTTAAATGGATATAAGCAAATGCCACTCTGATACCAGAATCCAAGTGCCTACAGACTGGGGCTTATGTTTGTATAACTATATTGGTTTAAATTCACATTTTACCTTATATTGGTATAACCTTCCAACATAGACAAGTCCTCAGACCCTCTGTCACCTTCATTTTCCCAGAGTTTAGTTACATGCACACTACTGAAATATTCTTTAGACTAACTGCAGATGGACCTCCTAGCGGAATCACTGAGTGAAATTCTAGGGCCTGTGTTATACTTGAGGATAAACTAGATGCTCATAGTGATCCTTTCTAGCCTCAGAATCTAAAAATATCAATGAACAGTTGCTTAATGTTAGACTAGAAACCTTTGCAATGACTGTGCTTCCTTCTGGCTCCAATTCCATGGGTACAGTGACTGAGGTAACCGCTTTCTAGTATCTGCCAGTGGATACATCCGAGAACTTGATGCTCTGAGTTGTTCCAAGCAGGACAGGTCTATAAAGCCTATTGCAAAGAGTTATGTGTAAACCAACATGCCTGTTTCATAGTTCAGTTCTAGAAGGCATGTGTGCGCTGTCTTGATTCCCCTACCAAAGAAGGGCCAACCTGCCAAGCCAGCCAAGGAAACAAAATACTGTTCCAAACAGGGAGAAAAATAAAAAAGAATTTGGAATGAAGGACCTTGCCTCAAAGCCCCACTGCTGTCTGACCTGAGCCCTCAGTTAATATATCCCATATCTTCCACCGGCTTTTTAAAAATGTGGTTCAAACACAAAGTTTCACTGGTAACAGGTACAGCAGCACAAAGAGGTTTTACCAGGTTGGAAGCCATTCTGTTACCACCAAAAGGACAAACCCCTAGTGCTTATTTGATGCTGAAACAGTTTCCTGTTTCAGAAGTTTATTTTAATAATAAATTTTCTTTGTGAAGGCTTCTAAGGAATTTAGGCCATTTGTACAACATATTAAAAACAATATCTATGCCATCCCTCTCACTGCCCTCTTTACAGACAGATGCAGATTTCAGGTGTAGCCAATTTTCAGTGAGCAAGCACCGTGGTGTCTTGTAGCTCACAGAGTCAGGTATAAATCAAACCAGTCAGTCAGCTCTTCTGTGCACTTTTCACCAGTCACTTCGTAAATACACCAACTTGAGAAAAGTTACAAAGTTTGGGTCTCTCTAGTTCTGGAGCCAGATAGCTATTTCCAGCTTTGAAAAGGCAGGTCTGAGCACCGGCATTAGAATAACAAAAAGAAAATAAAGCAAGTTTATGTACAGCTTCAGTCATTCTGGAATTACATTTTCATAACAACTGTTCTAGCAGGTCTTTGCTGAAAATGCACCTTTAGACCTAAGAAAATATTCTATAAAAAAAAAAGCCAGTTGTGATGTCACCTAATGTTGTCAGAGGAAACAAAGCACATGACACACTGTGTAGAAAATCTCTCTCTGGGACATCTGTAACCATTTAAGTTCACAGACTGAGCTGCGCTGCAGAGTGGATGTGGTTAATTAACATGTGATATTCTAGTTTTCAGTGCACAGGAGATGCTGATGAAAGATAAGACCACCAGTCTGACCTGCGCCATTGTCCAAGTATAACACACACTCGGGTTGGGTTTCAGGGGATCTCTTCCACCTTATTCCAAACCACATACTCTAAATCTCTCTCCACAGCTGGCTGCAGGAGTTTTTGATTTCAAGTAAGAGACAAATAGTTACAGCAAGTAAGAAAATGGAAAAGTTAAAGTTGACCACAAGTGGTGAAGCCTGCCAAAGAAAATCGGTCATTGTCCAAGAGCAGTGACAGGAGTGTCGGCCGAAATCAATCCCTCTTCAGAGTGGCTAGAAACTCAGGCCATTCTAGCATCTGAAGATCCAGTCAGATGGGAGACGATCAAGTTGACAAACAATTGGTTTTTAGATCATTGCCTCATTTGTTGATTAGTGCCCAGATTTCTAAGTCTTTAGATTTTCAAACGGTTGGAAGAAGGAGGAAGTGATACAACACACCTGAGTGAGCCTGGACATGAGAAGTGACCTGCTAACTGTAGCAGTTCCAAGGGCAGAGGACATGAATCAGTGATATTGTCCAGTTCTTTTGGCCCATAATGAAGATATTTACAAAGTGAATAGGAAATAAATTAAAGCTTGAATCAGTCTGGATTTCAGCTGCAACTGGATTTGGGTTCAACTGCATGTGTCCTGAAAAGGGGATTTTAAAACAGTGCAGAATCTCAGCCGCCAGGAACACTTCGCCAACAGCAACCCATGCCAGAGCCAGGCTCATCGCCTCCTGAATGCACGAGAGATCCTCCAGGCATTGGGCTCCTCATAGCGATTGTACAGGGGCTCAAGCCGCTGCTGCTTCTTCTGTTTGCTCAGTTTGGTTGGATCAGAGACTTTGAAGAAGGCTGGTGCAAATTCCACCAGCCAGCGTGGGTCAATGGTGGTCACTTCGCGCATATACTCCTTGGTGGTCAGCACCAGCTCATGATAGACCACCCTGTAGAGAGAGAAGATAGCAATATTAATGCTTGCAGAAGGGGAAATTAATGGTTCTTAACAATGAAAAGGTCCTTGGGGCTGAAGACCTCATCTCATGTCAGGGGTGCTCGAGACCTGTCCCCCTTGGTCCAGTTCTCTAACTCTCCTTCCCCCTTCATCACCACCTCCAGGCTCACCAGACCCAAAAAGAGCCACCCCCAGCAGAAAGCCTCTCTCATGCATCTCCCGCATTCTGCAGCATGGAGCTGCTTGGTTTAATGTCAGGATCCCCCTCTTGCTGACTTATGCGGCTGCATTGAACTCCATACCTGGAGGAGAGGCACAACAGGACAGCTGGAGGCAGGACTCCAGACAGCCTTGCTTTGCAGTGATTGTAGCACCTCATATGTCCTGTACACGTCTGCTCAGGAGCTGAGAACAGACCACAGTCTGTCTCTTTGCTCTCTATTCTCGTTCCATGCCCATCACGGAAGTATTGGAGCATTCACAGATTTTGGTCTGTATTTTATGTATAACCCATGCTGAGGACTTTCTAGCTGTAGAATTGAGAATTAAACTTAGAATGAAGAGTCCCTGTTTTCCTACCATTCTGGCTGCCTGTTGAAGAGGGCACTGGATGGGTGAATATAGACCACCTGCTGGTCAATGAGAGTCCGGTACCCCTCCTGGGGGTCCTTCTTTGCTGCATTTCGGAAGAAACCGCTGCAGATGGCCTTCTGGACTCGCACTGTTGCCTTCCCGCATGACACCACATCCAGCTTGTGTCTGCCAGAAGAGAGTCATAAAGAAAGAATTTAGTGGGCCCCCGTGTTTGGTGTGCAAAGCACAGACACCATAACACCCAAACAGCAAGCGCCAATCAGCTACTGCTAAAGGACAAGAATGCTTTTAAAAAAAAAAAAGGCAGAACCAGTTCCTGCCCTCTGCTGGATTTGCTCACCTGTCCATAATGCCCAGCATTTGTTTACGGATGTCCTGTGCCCTGCGCAAGGACCGGGCCTGGATAAAATTCTCATAGCACCAGGGATTCGAGAACTTATTATTCTTCCAGGAATTGTAGACAGCCAGCAGGGTGAGATGGTCCCCTTCTGTCTGGTGGAACTTGGCTTTCTTCTGGTCAGCAAGTGCTTGTTTATCCTGACACACAAAACACGTTTCCATCACATGTGTGTTTTAGAGAAAGTATCATGTACCCCTGGCAACGGGGCACTGGTTCTTCTTTATGCCCAAATACTGCATGTTCTTATGTGCTACTAAATGGACAGCCCCATGTTTAACCAGTGCAAGGCTGAGATGCATACACAGCATACTGGCTTTTTTGTAAAGGATTAAATACAAAGCACTGCAGATCAGACTCAGCCCTGCAGGTCAATGGGAGGTCCCTTGCCCACACCAGGGCTGAACTGGACCCCTATAATTAAGGCATTACCATTATGACACAATGTTAAACTTGAAAAAGACAAGCACAGCTCCTACCTGAAAACACAGACATGCTGCAGACCCCTCCTCTGCTCTCTCACAAGAGAGAGCAGAGAACCTGCAACACTGGGTCTTTCCTGAGGCACCCTTCTCTTTCCTCACCCTAACTATTCTTGAAATGATACTACAGGACATATGGCTCACTTACGCTGTCGGCTGCACTGTGTTGCATGCATAGAACTAGTCAAATTTTTGTTGCTTAGAAATCGGACATTCAATGACAGAGTGTATTGCTACACTATGGAGACTATATGACAATCCTGTCAGCATAGCTATGCCAGCACAGCCCCCCTACACAAACAAACAGAGTTTTTCTGTACGTTTTGGAAAACCGCCTCCCTGAATGATATTAGCTACGTTCACAGAAGCACTCTCTCTCTCTCTCTCCACATAGCTGCGTCTTCACTGGAGGTTTTGTTGGCATAACTATGTCAGTCGGGGGTATGGTTTTTCCACACCCCTGACTGATGTAGCTATGCCGATATAACTTTTCAGTGTAGACCAGGCCTAATCAATAGGCTCTGCAGAGAGGTCCATGTTTCTCAATTCCATGGATGTAGCCTTGGGATATCAATCAAACACTGAGGTCATTGAATCAGACAGCAATAGGACATTATAAGGAAGAAATAACAGATCCAAAAGGAGTCTGATAAGGAGCAGCCATGTCACCACCACAGCCTGCAGACCAGAGGTGCAAGAAGAGGGTCAGCGCAGGAGGGGCTTATGATGTGTAACTTCATTCTGAAACCATTTCTGTTTCTCTGGGAGGGGAACAGGGTTCCTCCAGCCACCCTACAAGAATGGCTCCGAATTCCAAAGCAGGAGATGGCAGGTTCTAATGTTGTTTCATTTACTGTTGAGAAGAGAAGAAAAAAGCAAAGCCTCCAACTTTCACTTCCCCGAGGGCAAAGTGGCATCAAACATCCACAGCTAGGGGGCACGTAACAAAGAGGTGAATTAGCTTTGCAATATGTGATCCAATGAACCCTTTAATTATGGTCTTGTCTGGGGGAGTACACACGTACCATTACACCAGATGCATTCAATAACCACCACCAGATTCCTGCTTCTCACCATGCAACCAGGGCTGGGCACTACAGCACATAGGCCTGAATTCCTTACCTTTGGTCTGTAGAACACATTCTGTACAGACAGCATAGAGACTATAGTTAACATTTCTTCACTGCATCCCAAATGTACAGACATGATCAACATCTTACATAACATGGGCTCCAAAGGGAACTCTGCCATCTGCAGGAATAAAGGACAACAACATATATTTTCAGTGGTGCTGAAGCAAGGCTTTAAGAGGTCTCACAAGATCAGAAAATAGGCCAGACTCATTTCAGTTAGAGGTAACTAAACCTTAATGGGAGAGAAGACGATGCCATTGAGTGTTTCCCTACCACGGCACTGCCCACTACCTAGGGGAGGTTTATTCGGCACAGAGCAGATGACCGTTGCCATCTACATGATCAGAGCAGCCCAACACTTACAGGGGATTTTTAGACACGTGTAAAATGGAACTCACTTACAAGAGAAAATGGCACTATTCCACTGGGAAGCAGAAAAGGCAATATTATTTACTACTTGTCTGCAAAGGCCAACTGCTAGTGGGGAAGTGTGGCTTTGGGTTGACTAAGAATGCACAAGACCACAGAGAGAAATCACTGACAGTGGCAATGACCCCTATGGATAGCTACACCCAGGCCAGCCGGAGAACACAATGCAACCAATGTTCAGAGGCATGATATTTAACCTACTCTGCGCCCAAGTCGAGTGAGCAGCCCCTCATCGTCCAGGGCTCCCAAGGTGTAGAGCTGTTCCATGGCAGTGATTAGTGTTTCCATCGGGGGAGCATCCATAAAATCAAAGGACAGCAAGTCGTTGATCCCCATAGCCTGAAATAGAGTGAAAATCTAAGGGTAAGAGACACCAGGAAAGAAACTGGAAACCAGGCTCCATAAGTAGAGACATCTCCGAGAGCATCAAAAAATGAGTCAAAAGCCAAAACCAAGAGTTTATCAGTGCTGCTTAGACCTTGTGCCCAGGGTTCGTGCCTTATCTCCAGTGTAATCACAAATCCCAGTGGGCACATTATTCCATCCCTTGGGACAAAAACCAAAACAGGGAAAAGTTCTAGTAAAGGTGCAATAGTGAACAATCCTGCACTAACGCCAGGGAGATGTGTGGTGACCTAATAGTTCCGTGCCATCTGTAACATCTATGACTCTCACATCTTGGACAGTTACTTAGCCAGCTGCAGTTCTCAGAGGGTACGGTCTTCTATAGATCTTCATATACATATATTTGAAAAAGACACAACTACCACGACCCCAGAAAGAGAAGTCCTCGCCTATGAGGTGATGGCCTGAGAAATGTATGTGTATTTTATAAAGGGGTTTGTTTTTTTATAACAGGGCATGGAAACGTATGATTTGACTAAGACTCCTGGGGCTTTCCATTTCTAGAACTTGCAATGAAATATGGCTTTCAGGTTGTGTGTAAAGAATGGCTTTTCTGGGACTGATATCTGTAAAGCTAAGTCTGAGTCTAAGTTATAACCCCCTGGGAGAAAGAACTGGAGAGCGAGCTGTAGCTCTGCCAATGGTACAGTGTTCCTTCCTATCCATTTGCATTTAGCAAAAGGGTGGAAATTACAATCACATTGGCTGTATTTCAGCAAAATAATGAGACACTGATTCCTACCTTAAGGGAGAGCACTGTGCTGGCCAAGTTTGTTCTCTGGATTTCAGGCACGTTGGTGGTTAGCATTTCATCTCGGTAAGCGCGCTCCGTGTAGAGTCTGTAACACTTTCCTGGCCCTGTTCTTCCAGCTCTTCCTGCTCGCTGCTTTGCCTGCGCCTGTAGGATTTCAGAGGGAACACAACATCTCAGAGGCAAGTAAGCATTATCCAGGACAATGGTTCAGTCAAGAGACTAAGTGAGAGAGGAATGAAGGGTTAGTTGTCTGCAGTTCTGTTAACATTATTACGGGGCTCCTAACGCAATGCAAGGAGACATGATGCGCTAAACACAGTCTGAGTGTGATGCAAGGCATTGTGTGTGGGAAAGTGGTATTTATTTCCCCACCTTGTTTCCATAAAATTTCCTCTAAGCCACAGATTTACTTCCCATACATTATCAAACATATGCTGTGTACCTGGGAAATTGGTGTAACCACCAACTGATCAATTCCAGTCTTGGAGTTATACACTTTCTGCTTCACAAACCCAGGATCTACCACATAATAGATTCCATCAATAGTCAGGGAGGTCTCAGCAATGTTGGTAGCAATGACAACCTGTAAGCAAGAGTACAGTCTGATTCAGATACTATCTCTGCTTGCCAACCAGACAGAAACAGAACTAAGCTAAACAAGTGTTGCTCTGTTTATACAAACCATTCAATATGGTATAATCAGACTGTTGCTGACACAACTGCTATGATTTAAAATTATTGATTATTCTCCTGCCAATATGTGTGAGCAGAGTTCTCCTTTCACCCATAAAAATGGCCAGATTTTAAACATTTGCACCCTGTTTTAAGCTTTAGGGCAGTACGTGATGCGAACACAGTGGAACTCATTGATAAAAACAAGGAAAAGGTTACCAATTTCTGCTCAAATAATTTTATGTGATCCGTAAAAAGTATTTTTTTGCCTGGCTCTGCAACATAGCCCTTATGAGACAAGAAACTACCACAGAATGTGCTTCAAGACAATTACTGCCATCCTCTGGGAGCTGCTTCTAGACACACCTTTCAGAAACTCCGATTTCCACAGAGGACAACAATGACCTTGAAAGGTAGCATCTAGAGAATCTTTCTGCTGAATCAATGTTATTTATAAAGCAATTCTGCGCAAAAGGGTTTGGGTTAAAATAAAACAGAAGAATACTTAAATGCCAAAAAATGAATGCAGAATTGGCCAAGAAAAGTTCTGTGAGTTAAGCCACATAAGAGCTGCTGTTTCAAAGCTACAGAGCATAGTCTATAATTACTCTCCTCCCCACCCCATAGCAAATAAGATTCTGAATGGAATAAACAGTGTAACAAGTCCCACTATTAAGTGTTTCATCAGAGGGGGAAGCCGCCCTTTGCCTGGCATTACCTTCCTGCTGCCTGGTGGGGCTGGGTCAAAGATCCTGGTTTGCATCTCGCTAGGTAAAGCTGAATACACGGGAAGGATAATTAACTCTGGCACGTCGGGTCCTAGAGATTTCATTCTCTCATAAAGGATCTCGCAAGCTGTATCAATCTCCTCCTGACCCGTCAGGAACACTAGGATGTCACCTACAAAAGGGAACGTGTCCACAGAATTAATCCTGCTCCACACAACTTCTGTCTAACCACTCCCTTTGCTTCCTTCTTCCCCTCTTCTCTTCCACGTAGAAAGAACTCCCGTTCAGATGTGCTCCTTATCAAGCCATATGACCCCATGACACAGGACCCTGCCACCGCCAAATTTTATCAAACATACCTGGTGGCTCCGTCAAATGGATCTGCATCACTGTGATCAGACTGGCATCCAGATAATCAGTCTCTGGTTCTTTTGTGTACAGAATTTCCACAGGGTATGTTCTGCCAGGAATTGTGAAGATTGGAGCTTCATAGAAATACTGGGAGAATTTCACAGCATCTAATGTTGCCGAAGTTACAATCAGCTTCATATCCTGACGTTTCTGCACTGTCTGTAGCAGGAGAGAACGTTCCCATACCACGTTAATAGTGACAAGGGCAATAAATAAGGGCTTCAACAAGCCCCTTCGCTCAGTTACATTTTATTCCAGGTAACAAGAGGCTTCAATCACCTCAGGGACTTTGGTGGATTCGCAGAATCATCTAAATGCAAAGGAGGATACACTGTCCTTCTCAGAGAGGCAAAAGGCCAGAATCTCATGCAATTTAAAGCTAAGGCCATATTTAAAATACACTTCTCTTTTTTCCTAGTTAAGGGAACTCCCAGCACAGAGACCTTTTGTGAGAGGCAGACTGGGTTAAGTGAGACTGTTTCCTTATTCTGAGAGAGTTGCCTATTCATCCCCAGAAATGTTCTGAATTAAATGACCCTTATCTGTTGCCAAAACTCCATTTAATTTACAGTCAGAGCTAAGACCAGGTGAACTACTCCTGTAAAGGCACAGTCACCTTCAACCATAGCTCAGTTCTCACAACTGACCGTTTTAAGACATGAGGGTCTCAAAAGGCAGACATGCCTGTCTTCCTCCTGCATTCCCTCCCAATATAACCTGCGGAGAGACCAGGGGCCAAACATAACATTACCTTTTTCAGAAGCCCAAAGAGCACATCAGTGTGAATGGTCCTCTCATGAGCCTCATCCAGCATGATGATGGCATACTGGGTCAGGTCTGGGTCAATCAGGCACTCCCGCAGTAACATACCATCCGTCATGTACTTGATGACGGTCTCGGGGCTAGTGCAGTCTTCAAATCGAATCGTGTAGCCAACCTACCAAACAAGAGATGGAAGCAGAACAATGGGTTTGAATGAGTAATTATGTCTCCACCCCTTACACTAAACTAACTGAATTGATGAAACAAAATTGTTGGCAATGATAGTCCCAGGTTGAGTTATTCTGCCCCTCAATTCAAACTTGCCATATAGACCATAGATCAGTTATCCCATTACTGATTTTTCCCCACTTTTCATCGTGTTTATGCAGCTGCCTCCTCCAACACAGAACTTTACCTCCTGTCCCAAACAGCAACCAAACTCCTCAGACACTCTCTTGGCAACAGACATTGCAGCCACTCTGCGAGGCTGGGTGCACCCAATCTTTCCTCTTGACGTGTAACCTGCCTCAGCCAGGTATTGGGTGATCTGCGTCGTTTTCCCAGAGCCTGTCTCACCAATAACAATCAGGATCTGATTGTCATGAACTGCCTGAAAGAGGACATGTTAGAAAGTGCTTGTTAGGATTCTTTTTTTTAAATACAGTCAGTCTAAGACTAGATGTAGCCTCCGAGTGCCCTCACTCATGCTGGCTCGGACAAAGTGTTCTGGCCTAGGTCTTGCTAACCAGCAAGCCAGTAAACTCTTTGACCACTCAGAGGACTCACCCTGCCATAAAGACTTGTGTCATTTGGGATCTTAGCTCCAATATTGGCCCTACTGCAGTTTTATAAAGATTTACAGAGAAAAATTATGATTTTAAAATACAATTTCATTCTTAAAACTCTCAAGTGGCTACTAATTTGTCAATAAACAGACCCAGTAACATTCATATTAATCCTTCCCGCTCCAAGGAGAAGGCGGTTCCTGCATGGGACTTACCTGAATCAGCTGCTCCTTTAATCTGAAGATTGGGAGACTCTCCCTCTGCTCAATGATGGAAAGTTGGGTTTTTTTACCATAGGAGGCTTTGTTGCCACCGAATGCATGTTTCTTCCACTCTGGGATATCATTGGGCATCATTCCAATACCCCGCATGTTGGCAGCTATTTGTCTCCCATCCACTAAGAAAAAAAGAGAGAATTTAGTTATCACTCTTCAGCTCACATGGCACAAATGCAGTAATGAGCTAGATACAGTAAAAAGGCATTTTACAGATAACACTACAATCTGCCTGTTTAGAATTCGAATGAGCTGTTCTGGCATATTGATTGTGATTTTGGGCCTACTACGATTTTTGCCATAGTTCCATCTGTGCATCACTTGGTAATATACTCAGTCCACTCTCCCATCACACTTTGACTAGAAGACTAAACATATAAGCTAGGCTCAAGATGAAAAAAGTCTTAAGTGAAGTGGCCACATACATAGACACCAAGATACTCTCCTGGAATGGTTCAGCTCCCACAGTGAATGGCACAGTAGATACTTAAACAAAGACAAGTCAGAACACACCGTCAGGAAGAGGATCCACCCAGTGTGTATTAAGTCCCATGGGGATAGAGTCCATCTCTGCTTCCCTTTGAGCTTGTTTGAGTTCTCGCCTTTCTTTGGCTAAAGCACTTTGCATCATTGCGGCCTGGGACAAGGAGCCATCAGGATTCTGAAGAACAAAAAACATACAATTACAAGCACTATCCAGTCCTGGAGCCTTTACTACCCCTCTCCTCTGTACACCTTTATTACAGCCCAGCCCATCTGTCCTCAAGCTTGAAGGCAATCTCTTTCCCACAGCTACTTCAAAGGCTTTTAAAACTTTATTATTTCACAAATGCAGAAATATTTTTGATGGCTAGATTTCCAGGATGCAGGTGGCTGTGACTGTAAAATAGCAGACTCCCTTCATAGTCCAATCAAGGATGAGCTTACTGGTACTGAGGTGAGAAGGATAGTTTCCTGGCTATCCACACCTCATCAAAAACAAGAGGATGAGTGGGGCAGAACACCGCTTGGTTCTACCTCTTTTTCTGTTAAATGTAGGCCGCATGTTAACCTTGCATTTCTATTCCACGATCTCATCTCACTGTTACCAATGAAATTAAAACCCAACTATGTATAATAAAAAAAAGATCAACAGCCCAGCGCTCCTGATTTTCTGGGCTACGGATACCAAGATTCCACTCATTATTGCTAATTCCAGAGCATTTACATAAAACCAGCATGCAAGTTTTCAGTCATTAGTCTGAAATCTCTTACCTTCACTATTTTAATGGGACTCATATCCATGCTTTGCTTGGTATGCCCTCGCAGAAATGGTGGCTCTTCTTCAACCAGCTCAATCTCAAGGTCCTCATCTAAAACACACAAATAATTCAGGTTTAACAAGGAGACAGATGCAGCTTTTTTTCAAACAAACTTCCGCCGCAGGAAAAGGAAGCTACGTTGCTGAAGTGTTTTCTGTGCATCCTGTTTACTGTATAATTACATATTCTACAAAGGTAAAAATGTCAGGCAAGGAGAGAGCTCCCGGCCAAAGGCAACCAGCACTTCATTAACCAAAGGGAACCAGCACACCTGCCACCTCCAGGTGTTTAGAGCTATTGCTAACTCAAACTCCTTACACTTGCTTGCATCAGAAGCTCCTTTTTGCATAGATCGCATACACAGAAAGGAATCTATTATACCCACAGTGAAACTACCAGACAATATTACCTTCTTCATCATCAACTTTGGGGAGGATCCCAGTCTCCTCATCAAAGTCAGGAAACTCTTCTTTGGAGAGCACGTTAGCAGCAATCATCTGGGAAAGGAATGGAGAGGGGAGGATTAGTTCCCACATGTGATCATCATTCAAGGGTAGACTGGCCCATTTAAGATTCTACAGCTCTCTGGGATGAAAGGAGGGTTCACTTTGCAAAGAGATAGGAAGTGTAAGTTCTCCCAGGACATTGTGGCACTGGGATTGTCTGAGGGGACTAGTGCCTATTAGTGTGGTACAACACAGTATAAATAGGAAAAAATAGGATGAAATTAAGAAAGGGACATTTACAATTAATATCAGATAATACATCCCAACAAGGTGATATACTGGGTTGTAGACTCCTCCCAAAAGAATTCAATTGTGACTTTAAAACTTCTCTGGACACAACATTGGTAGATGTGCTGCCTGGAACAACCCAGCATCAGCAGAGATGCATTAGTATGCCTAAACGGGCTTTTTAATCTCTGACACCTTGTCTTTCCTGGATTTTAGTGGTGAAAGATGCTGGAATGACAAGTGACGCTTCTAACAAAGATGTGTCAGTTATTAACAGCACTGGTCAGATTTATGAATCAGGGATATAGGAGTGAGAGGCTCCACATTCCATTATGGATCCCTGGGGGGGGTTCTGAATACTGGCAAAGAGAGACACTGGTCTTACACTTAACTGGATCACACTATTAGCCAAAGACTACTCAAAGCCTTATGAGGTCAGAGCTTGGGAAACCCATATTTCAGACAGCTTATAACAGTGAGGAGGATGTACCCAAGAAACCATGGACTATTAAGAAAAATGGGAAGCTGGATGGTAATCTTTGAAGCTCCCCTACAACCACACTGAATGACATCGCCCCAGACACCCCAGTATGAGTTGGTAGTGCTTTACACCTGTTTGATTTCCCATTTCTCTGGGTCTGAAATCCGGGTGAGACGCTTCCGTTCAAGGCTATCATCCTCCACTTCAGGGGCATTCACCAAGGAGAGGTGACTGGGTCTGTCTGGATTCCTCATAGAGGTCTCTTCATTGGTCTCTCCAACTAGGTTTCTGCGTCGGTTTGGGTTCAAGTCTTCCCCAGTCTCTTGATCAACATCCTATATCAAATACGATTGACAAATTTATTAATCACTGTCCCACCTTTTCCCGAGATACCTGACCTGGACCTCCTTCCTCTACCAAGCATATAAAGGCAAGGATCTCTCCGTTTCCCAGAGGGGCCAAGCCCAAACACAGCCCATGTATGTGAAGACATTTCACTATTGTTTGTTTTTTAAATTAACATCTCAGAAGTGATTAAGCAGTCTGTGGTCAGAAACACATTGTAGCCTGTAATTTAAAATAAAATGCCTCTCTCATGCAGTGAATGGAGGATGGGCATAAGCAACAGCTTGGGGTCTGTCTGGGCACCTGACTAAAGACTTCAAAGTTACCACTTTATTTGGTTCAATGAGTAGTACAAACAGAGTTGAATGTTTAGAATCTTTATATGCAAGGCATCTGAAAAGAACATGTGGAGAAAACAGGAGTAGGAACCAATGGGTGGCATAAATACAGAACTATAACTTACCAGCTTTAAGTATTAAAATATGATACTTTGAAGGGATTCAAGTTAGTTTACAGCAATATTTGAAATACTAAAACTGTAAACACTCTCTCTCTCCACCATAATTTGATCTATAAAAAATTCTTCCATACCTTCATGCTCAGGCTGGTTTTCGACCCAGTAAATGATAGCACTTTGACCTTTACTCTTTGACCTTTGCTCACAACATCAGCAACATTAGCAACACGTCCCTCTCTGCGAAGTTCAGAAATATGAACCAAGCCTTCCCAGCGTTTCCTGTGGGTCACACGTGGAGAGAAGAGCATGAGATACTGTATATTACTCTGGGAACCAACCCTTCACATATCATTTAAGCACTTAAATGTCTTAAAATGTTTAGTGCTGAGAGGTTTTACTGTGTTTATAAACTGTCTCTGGAAAGAGGAACATTCTTTACTGTCAGCTTTACTGTTTTGAAAGAGAAAATTCACTGTGGTTGTAAAATGCAGTGTGTATCACTGGCATACCTGCCTTCGCCTAATAAGGCATCATACCTTTTTTCCTTTTTTTTTTTTTTAAAGTCATATTAATAACTGAAACTGAAGCCAATGTTTATAATACACAAAGGAAGGATGATGGTACAAGAAGTGATAATGGCTCATTGTGAAGGTGAGATGGGTACCTTAGTCCTTCCAGCTGCACAAAGCACCCAAACTGCATTATACTTGTGACTTTGCCGTTGTAAATTTCTCCAATCGAAGGCTCTTCAGGTGGGGGCCGATCCACATGCTTGTCCCTCCATCTGTCATTGCTCTTCTCTGCATATTTCTCTCGATCCTTACGGTCCCTGCTGGGACTCAGACTCCTGCTCCTTGAGCGGTATCTGGATTTCCCCTTGTTCTTATCCAGAGTCCTAGAACGTGACCTGGAATGGGATCGGTGTCTCCGTTTCCTGTCCCTGTCTCTGCTGTGACTGCGACTCCTCCTCTTCTTTTTTGCCCTGGCAAACATTAACAATCTGTGTTCAACTTTCATACAAGAGAAGGTCATGCAGACAGAAAATTTACTGGCTAGCCATGGCCCAGAGATGCGCTGGAAACTTACCGGCGGTCATTATTCCTTTGTTTTTCCTGCCCACCTGCACTAGGCATTAAAGCTTCAAGTTCCTTAAGAGCATCAACAGCCACTTTCACATCATCTTCATCCAGCATAGTCTATAGACACAGAGAATACCTCTGTAAGATGGCTGATTAAAATCCTATCACCAGCACAGAGCATTAATCTGTGCAATGGGACAATCACCAGAAAGAAGGAAAGTAGGAGAAAAGATCAGAGAAAATGTGATGTAAAGAAGCAAAGATATGGGGATCATTAACCAGGAGTCTCAACGCCAAAACCTTCTCTGCCACATGGCTCTACCAGGTCTGCCTCTATGTATGAATTTGGAGACTGACTTTTTAAAATTGTTACTGAAACTTTAATATGCATGTTACTAGTAGGCATCTTGGGTAGCCTAGATTTTAATCCTAAAGTTTTGACACAAATTAACTTCTCCATAAGTAGATGCTTATTACAGTTCCCAATCTGATTAAAGGTATATGCTAATAATTCATTTCATCCACCTCACCTTCAAACCTCTGCACAGTTCCCACCTCTTCCTCTGCCTCCTCTATGCCTCTCATTTTCTGCACTCTTCTGGATCTTCTTTCCAATCTACCATCTTCAGCTTTCCTGCTCTTTGTACCTTCTATCATGCAACCCCTTATAGTAGGTGTATAAGGGCCTTTCAATCTCAGGTGCCAAACACGTTCCTTCAAAACCACTCCTTAAACAAAGTGTCCTACAGTGGTCTCAGTGTCACCAGGCAGTCTTGCACCTGAAACATTATCTGCTTATTATGTTGTCTGAGTTAGACTGTGAATTTGTCAGGGTAGGGTCCTTGTCTTGTTGGGTGTTCTGCAAAGCAATGTTTGCCCTAAGAGAGCTATATTAGCAATAGTCCCCTGCAACTAACCTCCAGCAATCCCAAACCAACTACTTACTTCCCACTCCATTCTGCATTTTCATTTCTCATACCCCATCACATTTTGTGCATTAGAAGCACAATATAGATGGTTATGTTAATGTAGCAACTGCAAACCAAGAGTGAGAAAACAAGCATATTTCCATTCACTGATTGTTAATGTGTGAAATTGCATCCTTACCCTGATGGTGGGATTGTCTGGCCTGCAAAGGGCTGGGAACAGGTCCTTCAGCTTTTCCTTTTCTGTTTTGGGTTTGACAACTACCTCTGTTTTTAGAATAAAAAAGGGTAAAAAAAAAAAAAAAAAAAAAGCTAGAAGTGCACCTTTATCACATGGCTAGAATAATTTTCTACTGTCATTTCTGAAACGGAGTATTCATTTCATCTCTGAATGTAAATTTTACTGCAGCTTTTAAAAGGTGAATTAAAAATAACTACATTTCCCCTCACAAAGGAAATTCTGATTAAATGAGATAGTGAAATATGCAATATTCTGAATTCTGCACTGACTCAGGCTCTCTTCGAGTAGCCCCAAAGCTTTGCACCAGCACCTCATGTAACACAGAGAACTCCACTGGAATGATAGTAGATAAGATATAAGAATAGCGATTTCATCTGTCATACCCACAATGTCCAGCAGATGCTGAAAGGGTTAGGTCTGTTTTCTATTGAGCTGCTGGAGCAGTGAGACTGTACTTACCTTTGCCTGTAGATGGCTTCGCTGGAGGCCGCATTGTCTGTATGAGACGTAACAAATTACTAATGAGGGAGTCCTGAAAAATTTGATAAAGCACAGAAGATTTTTTTAAGTGATTGCAATATTTTTGCACATTAGCACAAGGAGGATTTGTTAGCAGGGAACAAAAGCTCAATCCCAACTTCTAAAGATGTAGACGTATAGGGCCATAGCCACAAGAAATCACACGTACACCATAAAAGTTCAGTTGTAAAGAACTAAGACAAAAAGTGACTTGATTTTACAACGTTATGAAAATTCCATTTAAGTGACTCTCCACACCAGTCACTGGTTCTAACTAGGACAATCATTTTGACCTGTTTCTAAGGTACTTATCAGCCTGATGTGTGAGCACCATAAAAAGTTTGTTTTCATGACATGTTGTTTTTCTTGCACTACACATGCATAGTAATAAGACACCAAAGAGCCCAAATGAGTCTTCAAAATTGCATAGTGCTTCAAAGACTGCATCAAGCAAAGTTAAATAACGCTTAATTAGACAGAAGTGTGTGGAAGCCAGCATGTATGAACTATTAAATGAAAATAACTGCACATTAATAAACACAAATACTTAATCCTTGCAACTCTCTTTTAAATAAAAGATTCTCTCTGTGTTCATATCTCACTTACTGTGAACTCAGCGCCATTCTTTGTAAGGGCAGTCTTGAATGTGTCAAATGTGGTGTTTTTCTCAGCAAGATTTATCACAAACTCAGCTGCAAAGAAAAAGTGATTGAGAGTGAAACAAACAAAAATAATTTGAAGTCAGGTCACATGCATTTCACTCTGAGGAAAGGGGCTGGCTTAGCAACCTGAAGTCCCTCATCTAGCCAGAGAACATGGAATGCATGGTCTGCAGCAGTGCAAGTTTCTCTATCTACACTGCCTTAAGTCCATTTTCAGGAACCCAGACCTGGAGGGATTGTGTCTCAGGATGAGAGGAGAGCTCATTTTCTAACTCAGACTGTCAACTCTTTGGGGGCTGGGACTGTCTTTTTGTCTATGTTTGTTCAGCGCCTAGCACAACTACTGGAGCTCAAAGATACTACCACAATACACAAAATCAATAACGGACGTGTCAGGGCAATGAGGCTGAAGCTGGTTCCTTGTTCCCAATTCCTTATTTGATTATATAATAAATATTTACATAATTACACATTTACTTTTTTACCACAGTCACTCCTGTTAGTCTGATGAAATTTCTAAAAATGTAAATCTTACACTGAGATTCTTGAAAACAAACCCCGTTGCCTTCTCTGTCCCCATATCTGCACCATCATGGGACCCAACCCCACCAGCCACACCATCAGGGGCTCATTCACCTGTACATCTACTAATATGATATATGCCATCATGTGCCTCCAATGCCCCTCTGCCATGTACATTGGCCAAACCAGACAATCTCTACATAAAAGGATAAATGGACACAAATCAGACATCAGGAATGGTAACATACAAAAGCCAGTAGGAGAACACTTCAATCTCCCTGGACATTCAATAACAGATTTAAAAGTAGCCATCCTTCAACAAAAAACCTTCAAAAACAGACTTCAAAGATAGGTTTCAGAGTAACAGCCGTGTTAGTCTGTATTCGCAAAAAGAAAAGGAGGACTTGTGGCACCTTAGAGACTAACCAATTTATTTGAGCATGAGCTTTCGTGAGCAAAGAGAAACAGCAGAGTTACAATTCATTTGCAAACTTAACACCATCAATTTGGGCTTAAGTAGGGACTGGGAGTGGCTGGCTCACTACAAAAGCAATTTTCCCTCTCTTGGTATTGACACCTCCTCATCAAGTATTGGGAGTGGACCACATCCTCCCTGACTGAATTGGCCTGGTCAACACTAGTTTTCCCACTTGTAAGGGTTTCCACTGAATGCACCCGAGGAAGTGGGCTGTAGCTCACGAAAGCTCATGCTCAAATAAATTGGCTCGTCTCTAAGGTGCCACAAGGGCCCCTTTTCTTTTTACGGACACAGACTAACACGGCTGCTCCTCTGAAACTTGTAAGGGAACTCCCTTCTCTTCATGTGCCCGCATATATTCATGCCTGTACCTGTAACTTTCACTCCGTGCCGCTGAGGACGCGGGTTTTTCACCCACAAAAGCTTATGCCCCAATAAATCTGTTAGTCTTTAGGGCGGCACCGGACTCTCCTCGTTGTGTCTGCGGATACAGGCTGACACGGCTACCCCCCGCGACTTGAAAATAACGCTGGCCTCTGAACAAGGAGCTGGGAACCAGGATCCAACTTCAGCCGCGTGTCCCGGCAAACGCCCAGCCTCGCATCACCGCAGCGGCTCCCGCCCGCCCGGCCCTTCCTCCTCCGGGGGGTCCCCTGGCTCCTGCCCCCCGACCGGCTCCGTCCTCCTCTCCCGGGGGTCACCTCAACCCCCCCCCAGGGGACGCCCCCCGCCCCGCCGCGCCGCTCGCTCCCCGCCGGGCCCCTCACCCAGGTCCTTGTCGTTGATGCCCAGGTGATTGTCCAGCTCGGTGCAGACCTTGGACACCAGCGACAGGTACTCGAGCTTCGCGAGCTCGTCGGCGCCCGCCGGGTCCCCCATAGCCCCCGACTCACAAAGCGCAATCCACTTCCGGGTGCGGGCCGCGCCGGGGCTACGTCACGTACGTCACTGCTGGGGGTCACGCAAGGCGCTGGCCATAGAGACGGCGGCGCTGGCTAGAGCGGCTCAAGCTGGGGCCTGGGAGGGAGGCAGCGCCTCCGACTCTATGGTCTAGGGTGGCTGGGTTGGCGGGCTGGCCCTTTTCTTCCCGCTCTCTTGGAGGGCCGGGGTGGGGAGAGAGCTGCAGTGCCTGGCACAGTGCTGCCCTCAGCACTGCGGGGAGGCGATTCGCTGCCCCAGTGTCAGTGAAGAGAATCGCCCCCTCAGGAGCATATCCGTGAGGAGATTCCCCCCTCACTGTATGGGCCCCCCCATCCGTGAGGAGATTCCCCTGTTCCCTCCCCCCCCAGTATCCGTGAGGAGATTCCCCCCTCACTGTATGGGCCCCCCCATCCGTGAGGAGATTCCCCTGTTCCCTCCCCCCCCAGTATCCGTGAGGAGATTCCCCCCTCACTGTATGGGCCCCCCCATCCGTGAGGAGATTCCCCTGTCGTCCCCCCCCCCCCAGTATCCGTGAGGAGATTCCCCCTCACTGTGTGGGGCCCCCCATCCGTGAGGAGATTCCCCCTCCCCCCATATCCATGAGGCGATTTCTTCCTCCACTTTCACAGCATTTTGTCACCCTGTTACATTCGGGCTTGTAACTGAGGAATGAGCCTCTGTCCCTACCTTTCCCCTTCGGATGCTCATTCACAGACCTTTACAATACACACCAAGGCAAAAAGCTCCTCTGCTCCAGGAACTTTCCAGGCTGACTCCAGAACCTGAGGCTGAACCCTAAATTGCCATAAAGTGGCAGTCTGAGGGAAAACATCTGGCGCAATGAAATCCCTGCACCAGCCCATCTACTGTAGGGTGAAAACAAACATGGAGCCAGGCCTTCCTCACCCTATCAGTGACCTACCTGCTTCACTAGGTCCACTACCTAGGGCACCAGCTAAACAATCAGGAATAAAATGATGACTGTCTGGTGGTAACCATTGCACATGAGGTCTCCATCCATTTTGCCAACCTACTGCAAATCAAGGGCTTGCCAAGTCATCCTGCAACCAGTACCAACAAAGTCACATTGTTTTTGGAGAAACCTCAACACAAATTTTGTTAGAGACAGAGATATTGAGTGTATGTTAATTAGGCACCTGGGCCAATTTAAAAACTCATCAGCATTTGGGTTGGATCAAAGCATTAGAAGAAAAAGCTGTCGGCTTTCTCTGGCATACAGAAATCACTAGAGAAATACAACCCAGTGATAATGCTACTGCTAAACCTACTGGACAGTATATATAAACCTTTTGTATTGTATGGAGTGAAGGCAGGGACCCAACCTTAGCAAATATGCTAGCTGGGACAAAATGTCACAGAAACCTTACATGCATAACTCTGCAAGTAACTATTACAACATTTATTCCAGCAACAATGGGCTACAGAGCAGAGGTAGATGATTTCCACGCTTCTGGTGCCACCTCAACCGAAGCAGCAAACACTTCTCCTCTCTAAAGCACTAGAGAGCCCAAAACGAAATCCAAACAAAACCAAAATTCACTGCTATCTAACATCACTCTTGCAGCCCAGGAGCACTAAGCTGCTGAGCAATGGAACAAACAACCATCCCAGACAAATTATACAATACACCAAAAACACCAGTATCCGAGTGACTGTGAAGAAAAGTTCGGAAAAGTTTGATACAGAACTATCACCCTGCACATATACCTCACCGCAGTGAAATGTGCATAGCTAAGGTAGAATCTTACCAAATACAGAAACAAAGTCAGTAAACAATAAGTTGAAACTGGGAGACATAAAGCAGAGTGCAAGCCCAATGAGTAACAGCTGGCAACTAATGTGACAGAGAAGAGATCAGGATAGTGAGACACTTTGTACTCCTAATGTCTAAAATATGAGGGAATATGAAAATAACTACAAGTGGAGATAAAGGATAAAATCCCTAATGCACTTATGAATCATGTTCTGAGGGACAGTCAACGTACCTATCTGTTTCAGGGGATAACAGGTGTACCTGCTTCAATCATAGCCTTGGCCCTGGGACCTGTGTCTTGAAAAAGATTCTGTTAAACACTTTATGGATTATAAGGAAAGGCACATAGATGACAGACATGTTGGGGAAGAGTCAACATGGCTTCTGTAAAGGGAAATCATGCCTCTCCAATCTATTAGAATTCTCTGAGGGGTTCAACAAATATGTGGACAAAGGAGGTGTAGAGGACATAGTGTACTTGGACTTTCAGAAAGCCTTTGACAAGATCCTCTCGTGCATCAGTAACTGTTTAAAAGATAGGAATAAACAGTCATTTTTCAGAGTCCTCCAAGGATCTATACTGAGACCAGTGCTGTTCAACATATTCATAAATGATCTGGAAAAAGGGTGTAAACAGTGAGGTGCTAAAGTTTCCAGGCAGTATAAATTACTCAAGACAGTGAAGTCCAACACAGACGGTGGAGAGTTACAACAAAGGGATCTCACTAAACTGGGAGACAGGCTAGTAGGTGAGATGGAGCATTGCCCTAACCTAATATGGCCATTCTTATGTACTACAACTGTAGTGTGGACAGTAAAATCCTGGGATGGAAGGTATTACAGGAGTACAAACTGTTTCTGTTTTGCACTTTGTGTCAATGAGACTTAACTGATGTCTCATGGCTGCAAATGTGTCTGCTGTCTTCCCACAAGAAAAATTAGGGCTGTATGTCTCCACAGTATTCCTTTGTCAAATAGTACATAGCAATTTAAAAGAAAAATCCAGACCCTGTTGTATATTGCATTTGATAGAGAGGAGGAGAGGCTAGGAAATTGAATGGCAAAGTATCAGCATTGAAGGAAAAGAAAAAATCCCTATTTCCTTCCAGCCCCAGTATTCTGCTAGAAAAAAGCATTTATGGAACTCTTAGATAAGAACCCATTCTGAGAAAATTAGAGTAAAATAGAAAAGACACTAGGCAGAAATTTAGTATCTTTTCATGAAATCTTAGATTTTTAGGAAATAGCACTAAATACGTTCAAAACTGCAGAGACACCCTTAAATTCCAGGATCCACTATTTTTTCTCAGTGGGATTCTCTTCGTCCATTCATAATGACCCTAACCATGGTTATAAATCTGTTGCATATATTTCTGCTTCCACGGTTCTCTGCCTACGGAAGTAGAGTCTGCTAGTGAAGTCCCCCATCCCATGGCTATACTTGCTACGTGTGTCCAGTAAACACATTACTACAGGTGCTTTGCCAAGTCTGAGTGGTAGAAGTTGGGCTGATCTGGTCTAAGATGGACACAGTTGTAGGGGGCTTTAGGTATATATCTCGCTTCCAGTGAACATGTGTCTGTGCTTCACTACAGCTGATTAGACATCAAAGGAGGGTATCATTCCCCTGACTTTACAAAGCCAGTCATTAGCATGACAGAAATTGGTCAGCAGCTGTTCCCGTCTTTGCCACATGACAACTGCCATCCCTTCATTAATTGCTACTCTGGACTCTGCTCTTGGCAGCACTGACTTATTTGTATGCATTGACATCCAACTTCACCATATGATAATTCAGCAGCTAAAATGTCTTGTGTTGATGGCCAGGGGGAGAGGCAGATGGACGAGAAATTCAGAGCCTTGATTGGATTTCAGGCAAAAGCAGTTCAGCTGGACAGATAGTGAGCACCTTACCACCCCAAGGGGGTTGGAACAATAAATTACCCTTGAACAGAGAAATAGAACATAAATATTCAAATTGAATGCTGATGGAAACAGGCCTTGGTTATAATTTGCTTCCAAATATGCTAATGAGTCAAAAGGTCCCTGTAGTGTCTGAAGGAGATACATAGCGACATTGCAACAGAAATGCTGGATTCTGCTGTCCTATCCCATCAATGTTCATGTCATGCAGGAATCAACCTTTTCCATAGGAGACTGAAGCCCAAAACCATTCCTCTGCAGCATGTCCTAGCTGGGAACGTAATGTTAATAGAGTCAATAAAAGTAAAAAAAAAAAAATCCTGATGTTTTAATACTGCATCTTGTATCCAAAGTGAATGTTTGTAAGAGACTTTACGATGCTAACTATGGATTCTGAGTTCTGTCTGAACAAGTGATGAAACACCGTCTATTAAGACGTTTATAAGTGGACCTGACAAAGTACTGAAGAATACACTATGGTACATAAATTATGAGATGCTATCACTTTACTAAGTGAGCACACCAGCACATTAATCAGCCTTTCAGTTATCAGCTAACTGTGCTAATCACTTGCATTGCAGTATCAGCTGCCTATATAGAATAGGGGAAAATCCTGCACTGGCCAAGGGAAGGGCAACAGATATTTTCCATTTCTTTGTTACTGAAGCTGTTGCCCTAAGGCATGATGAAGAGAACTGTATAAAACTATTATACTTCAATGAGTATTTCATCTGCTCTCTGGGAGTTTTGTTTTTCATCAGCCTCTATATTTCAGACTGTTTGGAGCACAACATGGAAATAACAACATGGAATGTGACCTTGGAAACTTTGAATTTACTGTGTGTATGTAATTGTATGAGATTCTATAGTCTTATATTGATTAGTTTTCACTTCCCTTTCACTTCAGATGCCCAGTGTGACCTTCGGTGGCCCTAATTCAAACTAAAGATGGCAGCATATTGGAAGGTATATTCAGAATTACATTATTTCAGATGCTGCTGAGTGAACTGCAGAGAGAACACACAGGGAGTATGTCTCATGCAGTTGGCCTCTGAGGTCTCTCTTCCCTTAGATTTGAGTTCTCTTAAAAAAATCTACCTTTTAAGACTTGCTACATGCAATGCAGATGCTGTGTGGCTCCAGCAAATATAAATTTCATGGCTCATTGATTAAATAGGTCATAAAAGAGTTCTAGCCTTGTATGTCTTGACAGTCTTCCAGGAGAAAAGTAAAATTCCAGCCAGCATTCTATGGTCATTCTCTTCTGTGGTCACATTCAAGGAGTGGAGAAATCCATGAAAAGTTAGAGAA